AAGCTACAAAACATGTAATTATGCACTGCTTGAAGTGTTTTTCGTACATGGGTATACCAAAAATTATTAAAAGTGATAATGGTTCTGGATATAGTAGTAAGACATTTCAACAATTTTGTACCCAATGGGAAATCGTACATAAAACAGGTATTCCTTATAATCCTCAGGGACAAGGTATTGTGGAAAGGGCTCATAGCAATCTTAAAATACAACTTCAAAAAATAAAAATAAAAGAAGAAATTTACCCTCAATCGCCACATAATGCATTAAATCATGCTCTTTTTGTTCTGAACATTTTGAATATGAATATCTGTGAGTAGTCTGCCGCAGATAAGATTTTGGCACAGTGGCATCCAAGCGACTTTTGCTCAAGTTAAATGAAAAGATCCCTGCTCGGGATTATGGAAGGGTCCCGATCCTATGATCCTATGTTAATATGGGGTTGAGGATATGTTTGTGTTTTTTCACAAGAGGAGAATGGAGCTCGGTGGTTACCAGAGCGTCTGGTAAGGGGCATGGAACTAAGAGAAGTCAGCTCCAATGACGTTCCTATAAAGGAACCAGAATGAAAGTGGCTTGATTAGTGTTTCTGAGGTTTTGTCACTGGTTAATGCAAACAGTGAGGAAATAGAGTTCGGAGCTGTGCTGCTTTTGGCTTTACTAGCTCCTTTAGAAAAATACTTTATATCACCTAATAGCTGTGCAGTATTTGGCGAAGAGCTTTATAGCAGCTAAATATAGTAATTTCACACAGCGTGAAGTGAAGTTTTTCCGTAGAACAAACCAAAAGTACTGCTGCAATAGAAACGTTTGTCTGAATTGAAGCACTTAGGGGAGGTATTATGAATTTGGGTGAAGACAGCCTCTAGTTAAAAACCATTTACCGCTGACAGTGCATCTCTGCCAGTTCCAGAACGGCTGAGAGAACTTGGCAACTTTGGAGTGTGGCTTCATCCTGAGAATGTTACAGTCCCCTAGCAACAAGTATCACAATTCTATAATGACAACTCACTAAATCCTAGTGTTGCATAGCAAAGCTGACTATAAACTCTAAACTTCAGAAATGATGTATGTACTTCCTGTGTAGTTAAGAGAATCTAATAGAGATAGTGATGATAATTAAGAGTAAGAAGTAGAAAAAGATGAAATTATTCTGTTTTGTTGACCTGTGTTAAATCATTAGCCCTATAGATCTATAGAGTTCCTTTAAGAATATAAGCTTGCGCCGGGCGGTGGTGGCGCACGCCTTTAATCCCAGCACTCGGGAGGCAGAGCCAGGCAGATCTCTGTGAGTTCGAGGCCAGCCTGGACTACCAAGTGAGTTCCAGGAAAGGCGCAAAGCTACACAGTGAAACCCTGTCTCGAAAAACCAAAAAAAAAAAAAAAAAAAAAAAATATAAGCTTGCAAGAACTATCTAAGGTAGTCTTAAGACATGTAGTAATGAGTTTGTAAGAAGATGCTAGTTGTAAATATAAGTTTAAATAAGAAATAAGAAGATGGAATGAATATAAAAAGTATATAAGAAGTAAATAAGAAATATATTTGCTAAAGTACTTCTATAGTTAAAGAGTATAAATAAGTAGATGTTAATACGTTATATGAGTTTGTAAAAAAGCGTAAATGTTGAATGCAAGTCTAAATGCTTTGCAAGGCAAAATATGTTATATGTGAGTTTGTAAAATGTCAATGTTAAGTGTGAGTCTGTTCTTAATGTATATGGTGAAGGAACCTGAGACACAGAAGGTAGTGTCCTAGTAGACTGTAAAGTAGACAGTCTGAATGGTTTCAAAAGCTCCAGAAGCCACTAAGAAGATAAGAATGGCGGACGCCAGAACCAGCACAAGGCATCCGCAGCTGAGATCCATGGAAAATCAACGCAACACAGAAAAATCTGAGCTAACATCAAAAATGGTGCATTTTAAAATATTACTGTAACTAAAAAGGTCTCTGGCTTGAGAATGAAAGTTGCAGAGACGCTTGTTTGAACTAAAATTGTTAACTGCAAAAAGTTTTGGTTGTAAAACGCCTCTTCATATATGGAAGTGAAAGTTTGATACCAGAATTTACTTTTTTTGAACTTTTCGAACTTAAAAAAGTTCGAAACTTTTTTGAGATAAAACTGAAAGGTTTTGGTTATGGATTTCTTAATATTTGGAAGGCTGACACCCGAATTTATTATTTGAATTTTGGGACTTAAGAAATGAACAATAGTGATTTTGTTGCAATGGGAAAACTTTGAATTTGCTTATAGTAATGACCTGGGAACTGTTTTCTGGAATTGTGTTAAAAATGGAACTGTTTAAATGAAGAAATTTATTGTTTCTATCTTGACTCAAGATGCAGTTTTGTGTATGCATATATGCTAGTGATTCATGAATTTTTCTGTGTTAAAAATGGAACTGTTTATGTAAAAATGGAATTACTTATGGAACTGGTTTTGTGTTACAAATGGAACTGTTGAAACAGAAAAGTTTGGGTTTTCTAACTAGACTTGAGATTTTGCTTAAAAAATTATAAAGAAAAGAGAGAATTAATATTCCTTACCCTATTTAATTTAAAAAATTGTTTGAGTGGATTGATGTCATGTTTTGTTAGTAAGAAATGCAAATGGGTATATTAAGAGACTACTTTTAAAGTGTCAAGAGTTTTATTAAGAAACTACTTTTGGGTAAGTTTGGGTTTTTTCTAACTAGGTTTGAGATTTTTGTCTAAAAAATTATAAAGAAAAGGAGTTATGAGTGAATTGAGGTTGAATTATGTTTAACCTATTGGTATTAATGCACCCTGGTTTTTGTGGAGTTAAGGAAATATTTAAGTTTGTGAATACATCAGAAGTTTTTCCTATGTTCTGTTAGCAAGAAAATTAAAATGATTAAGAGTTAAAGTTGTAAGATGGAGAAATTGTTAACTATATATAGCACCATATGTTAATTCAAATGATTATATTAAGAGTTTGCTTTGATATATAAGATTGAGAGAATTGTGACTATATATAGCAATATTTATGTTAACCTGTTAATAGTAATGATGAAGCTAAGGAATTCTTTAAGTTTGTAGTTGCCTTAAGAGTTTTTGGTTTAAAGAGGGCTTGATGCAGCTAAAGACTGCTGTAGTCACCTTGGACCTAATCAAAATGCCATCTATATCATCCTCTACTCCCATACTGGAGGTGTAACAGCTATGGAGATTGCTGTAAGCCATTAATAATGAGTTGTTTTTTATATAGTAAGAAAGGGGGACCTGTGGGAGCCCGTTTTCAGGTTCCTCGTGGCTTTACCCAGCAGGTCCGCATAGAGGATTAGGGCCACCGGCCTGAGTGCAGGTGTCTGAAATGGTCTGCCCTTGGCTGGGCTGGGGGGAGGTCTTTTGCTCCACCCCTTGGCATCTCTATAAATACCCTGGGGCAGAGACAGTCGGGGCCTGTTGGAAAAGGTTCCAGGCCCTCTTGAGGCTATCCTTTATTTTCTATCTGTTTATCTCCACAATATAAATCCTTCTATCTAATATTTCCTGCTGCCCACACTCAAGAAAACTCTGGGGAGCTGTGGAGTTGGTGGGTAAATGCCCCACACTTCAGTTGGGCTTCTACTTACTAAGGAAGAAATCTGACAAACAAGCACACAGATTATGATACAGCATGGCCAATAAGGATTTATTTCATTCATACACCATCAAAATTAGGACAGTTCTGGGTGCAATTGTGCATGCCTGTAATCTAACACTTAGGAGGCTGAAATATGAAGATAGCTACATAGTTGATGTCTAGGCCAGCCTGGGCTATTATAGCAAGACCCTGGTAGTGGTGGGAATCAAACAGTGTTATTCTTAAAACAATGAAGAGAAAAACTATCATGTTTAGCCAATGCAGAAAGTGTATATAACAAAATGCTATTCCTTTTTTTATGATAAAACTCACAGCAAAAGAGCTGTTCAGTCAGTTTCAGAACAAGCATCCACAAACTGAAGCTAGTGTATTAAATAGGAAGGTATTATTAATCATGTTCACTGTATGGTGCCATGTTGTATAGTGCTATAAATAAGAAAAATAAATAAAAGACACTGTGATCAGATGAGAAAAGCTAAAATGATATATTAGGTAGTGCCACACTGTAAGAAAAATAAGACAGTGATTAGAAGATGGAAAAAATGGTATTTGTAGATAACATTATGAATGCAAAGAATCTACAAATACCCTATTAGAAAATTGTATGCACACATAAATTAACTAGGTTACTTATATAAGACAAATATATAAAAATCAATTGTGTCTATATATTAGCCCTGGAAAATGTAATTTTGTCCTATGTATGTGTGTGGTGGGTATGTTTGAGGGTTCATGTGTATGGTGTGCTGCTGTGGGATGTCTTTCTGTACACTGTGAATGTTTTATTACCATTGGTGAATAAAGCTGCTTTGGCCTATAGCAAGGCAGGATAGAGCCAGGCAGGAAATCCAAGCAGGGATACAGGGAGAAGGGTGGAGTTGAGAGGAGAGGCCAGCTAGCCACTGGGGGGGCAAGATGAATTAGAACACTGGCAAAGCCATGAGACACATGACAAAGTAATTTAAGTTGTAAGAGCTAGTTAGTAATAAGCCTGAGCAACTGGACAAACAGTTTATAATATTAAGCCTCTGAGTGACTTTAAAAGTGGCTTCGGGACTGGGTGGGACAGAAAAGCCTCCATTTACAGTGTGCGTGTGGGAATCAGTTCATGTCAGGTGTCTTCCTTAATAGTGCTCTCACAGCTCATTTTGGCAAGTTCAGCTAGCCTGTTTGCTCCAACATAACTATAACAAGTATTTAATATTACCATTCAGAACGTGGCTTAATAATTAATGATTCGCCGGGCGGTGGTGGCGCACGCCTTTAATCCCAGCACTCGGGAGGCAGAGCCAGGCAGATCTCTGTGAGTTCGAGGCCAGCCTGGGCTACCAAGTGAGTCCCAGGAAAGGCGCAAAGCTACACAGAGAAACCCTGTCTCGAAAAACCAAAAAAAAAAAAAAAAAAAAAAAAATTAATGATTCAAGGCAATGAAGGAAAATAATTCACAGCACAAAATTAGAATATGTATATTAAGTATGGGAGGTTTGTAGGAAAGTTAGAAAATTAGAAGCACAAAAATTTAAGAACAATTTTTTCTCTTTAATAAAAATCATGCAGTTTGACAACAGCATAGGAAAATGAAAATTTCAGACACTGTGAGGTAGTTTTTGTTTTTTTTAAAATTTGGTCCCTTGCTTCAAAAATGCATATAGTTTAGTTATTCACTATTAAAATATTAGTTATAGTAAATATGCTAATAGCTGATATTCCTTTTGCTAATAACAAAAGCACAGCCCTCCTGAACTCAGACTTTTCTAGTGTTTATATATTGCATATATTATATATTATGCAGACAAATAAAAAAGTGTTCATTTTACCTTATAAACAGCCCATGTTAATATCTGCAACTGCGAAGTATCTGATCTTAAAAAATGACTGAAAGGTAGCAAATTTTCTCTATTATTATATAACCAATGTTTATCCTTATAATTTTAGTCTCACAGGCCTAAACTGAAAGTTTCCTCATATTCACTATATTAAGTCAATATGAAGTATATATTCTGAGGAACTTTGGTTAATTGCTTTTACTCATGCAAATCTGTGTTCAAAGAGTCCTCTTCAATATGAATTTTATAATGATTGGTAAGGGAGGATCTCTGACTGAAGAGCTTCCCACATGCACTACATTCATAGGGTTTCTCTCCAGTATGAATTCGCTGATGTGCAATAAGGGAGGAGCTTTGTCGAAAACTCTTCCCACAAGTGTTACATTTAAAGGGCTTCTCTCCTGTGTGAATCCTCTGATGTTGAATAAGAGCTGCACTTTGGCCAAATGACATCCCACATTCTATACATTGATAAGGTTTCTCTCCAGTATGAATTCGTTGATGGTTACTGAGAGATGAGTTACACCTGAATGTTTTCCCACACTCATTACACTTATAAGGTCTTTCTCCAGTATGCATTCTCTGATGTTGGATCAGAGCTGAACTTTGTCTGAAGGCTTTCCCACAAACTTTACATTTACATGGTTTCTCTCCAGTGTGAATTCTCTCGTGAATGATAAGAGTTGAATGGGAACTTAAGGCTTTGCCACATTCATTACAATTATACAGTTTCTCCCCAGTGTGAATTATTCGGTGTCTATTGAGTCTCGAAATAGAAGTGAAGCCTTTTCCACATTCATTACATCTGTAGGGCCTTTCTCCAGTGTGAATTCTTTCATGTTGAATAAGTGATGCGCTTTGACTGAAGGCTCTGCCACATTCACTGCATTTGAAAGGTTTCTCTCCAGTGTGGATTCTCTGGTGGTAACGAAGGGATGAACTAGACTTAAAGGTGTTGCCACATTCGTTACACAAGTAGGTCTTTTTTCTGGAATGAATTCTCTGACATCCTGAAAGAGAAGTGGATGCCTTCCTACCTGGATTATATTTATGAGGATTTTCACGGGCATGGATTTTTTGATGCAAAAAAAGGCCAGACCTTCTGCTAAAGGATTTTCCACATTCTTTGCATGTATAAGATTTCTCCAAAGTATGAGTTCTTAGGTGCTTACAAAGGGAAGCACTATGGCTGAAGGCTTTCCCACATTCTTTACATATGTAGGGTTTCTCTCCAGTATGAGTTCTTTGATGTTGAATAAGAGCAGAACTTTGGCTGAAAGCTTTCAAACATTCTTTACATTGAAATAATCTCTCTCCAGTATGGTTTTTCAGATGTTTTCGAAGGGATGAGTTGTGCATGAAAGCTTTTTCACAAGTACTACATTTATAGCGTTTTGGTTGATTAAGTGAATTTGAATTTTCCTTGAGGCTATTTCTTTGTGTTTTTCCTCTAGAAATCTTTTGCTTACCAACTGACTTCAGGCTGATGTTTGGACCAAATTCAAATTTCTTATGGCTTTTATCTACAGTAAGGATTTTTGTATGGGTGACTGAAATTATTTGTAAGCTTTCATTTTTGTCCTGCTTTTTAAAACTGTTGTCAGCTCTGCAGAATTTTCCTGAGGTGAAGTCCCAGGACTCATCTCTTTTGAGTTGTTTCCTCATTAATCCCTGAAATGATGAATCTTTAGTTTGAGTTGATTTTGTGGTTTGAAGACTGCTATTGCATCCTGGAAGAAAAAAAAATTGCCAGTGATGGGTATGATTAGCTAAATTTATAGGAAGAATATTAATGATACCTATATGCCTAAAGATACTAACAAGAAGGAAAATGGAAAATAACACTTTATAAAATAGTGGATGAGAGCCAAACAATGGATTGAACAAAGCTCATTTAAGGATGTGAGAGTTAAAAGTAACCAATAGAGGGATTAGAGTATGAATTGGGAAATGCAGTCTGGTATCCAAAGCCTATGACGGACTCATAAATTAGGGTATTTTTTACATTCTTTTTTTTTTAATATCTTCCCCTTTTCTACATATCAGAATCCTTAGTGGCCTTCCAATTCAATGCAAATAACCCCTCTGTTGCATCTCTTTCTGACTGAATCTAATAATCCACTCCCTTCCTCTCATTAAAGCACTTATTACAAGATACAGCAATGCATCATTAAATGACAGAGATCTGCTCTGAGAAATGTGGCCTTAAGTGAGGTCATCATTATGTAAGCATCACAGAGGATACTGAACACAAATCTAGATGGTATAGATCAGCCACTGGATGTGCTATGTGTGTGTTGATGCAATCAAGAGATATGGTAAACATGAGACATATGGGACTGCTGCTAGTATAACATAGCCTCCTTAACCTTTCTTCCCATAAGTACAAGTCTATTTTAATACATTGTATTAAAATATAAAGCACAGTAGTCATGAACCAGAAATAGAATCACTTATGGCTATTATCAAATATTGTGTACTGTATATAATTCTAGTGCTATACTTGTATACTATTAGCAGTACAGGTTTGATTACATCAGCATTGTTACAAACACATGAATAATACATTCTGTTAAGTTTTATTTATTCATTATTGAGGCAGGGCCTCACTGTATAACTCTGGTTGGCCTGGAACTCAGTGTAGAGAGCAGGCTAACCTTGAACTCATAGGGATCAGCATGCTTCTGCCTCTTGAGTGCTAGGATTAAAGGAGTACACCACTTTGACCAGCTTGCATTCTATTGTTTATAATTTTTTAAATTACTGTTCCCTTTATATGCATATTGCTCATATTTATGTATGTATACCACGTGTGCTAATTGCCTGCAACAGTCAGAAAAGGTCATTGGAACCCCTTGAACTAAGTAATGGTGATTGTGAACCACCGTGTGAGTGCCCGGAAACAAACCCAGGTCCTCTGCGAGAGCAACAAGTATTCTTAACTGCCTATCCATCTCTCCAGCGCCCTCTATTAACTTTTAATGGCTACAATGTCACAAGGTAACAGTTCATTTTCAGCTCCACTGTACTCTTATGGGGCCATTATTGTATATGCAGTTTATCATTTACTAAAATATCACTATACAGTACGCAAGTACATTATATGTATTTAAGGGGAAAGTATATATCTAAGGATGCCAAGAAAGCCTTCAATAAAAATCTGTGTCACACAGATAATAAGCACAAATAAGATGTGAAGAATATTTCCACAACATGATAAAATTAAAATACTTTAGTCCTAAAGCTAATACCTGATTTAATGAAGAGAGTCTATGTGTATTTAATGAAGAGACTCTAGGCAAGTATATCCATTTTCCCTACTATTCACCTTTGAGGAAATATTAATTATTGTAATCAGACAAATAAATTAGAGGAGTTAAAAAAATTGCCTGTACTTGCTGATAGCATCTTTTAAAACCCTTCAGTGAAGAAGCATATATAGAATGGACACACAAAAGTAACAGCCATCGTTTTATAAAGAATAAGAGGAATTCAAGAAATAGGAAAAACCTATACAAGGTGAATGAAAATGGAGTATACCTCTGCTACTCTTGGGTGTTAACCGCCCAATGTTATATAATTATATCAGTAAATAAAGTCAGGATATAGGTCAGAATTTCTTAGTAGTAGCTGACACCATGGGCCAGATAATTCTCTGTTGTATGGGACTGTCCTCTACATTGCAAGATATTAAGTAGCATCCTGGCCTCCACTTGCTGAGAGACAGTAAAAACTTTCCTCACATAACACCCCCATACAGACTGTGATGAGCAAGAATATGTCTTACTCCTCTTTCTGTGTTTCTCTCATCAGGAGGAACTAATCTTCCTATATAGCTCACACCTACCAAGAAAGCTTCAATTTTAAAATTGGTTTCTCAAAGTGGCTTTAAAAAGGTACACAGACAAGCCGGGCGGTGGTGGCGCACGCCTTTAATCCCAGCACTCGGGAGGCAGAGCCAGGCGGATCTCTGTGAGTTCGAGGCCAGCCTGGTCTCCAAAGCGAGTTCCAGGAAAGGCGCAAAGCTACACAGAGAAACCCTGTCTCGAAAAACCAAAAAAAAAAAAAAAAAAAAAAAGTACACAGACAAAAGGACAAAAATCTTAAAAAGTATATTTAAAAATATATACTTTATTTAGAAATGCATTTCCTAAATAAAGACAAAAACATTCATTGAACAATAAAACTCATGTTTAAAGAGTAAATTCTAAAGCATGTAGATAGAGAGTATAATGCTGAGTGAGTAGGGAGCAATGTATCAGAATTTCTTCCCAAAGCAGTAAGGAGTCACTTCATGCAAGACTTCATCTTCAACATCATGTGAAGGCAGAGAATGCCCAAACTGTAAATGAATGTGAGGTATCTGAGAAAAAGTGGATGCCAGGGAATATGGCACATGTAATGGTATGAAGTGCCAGGATTCCAATTCCCTAACTAGACAACAAAATCTGTCCATTAGAACTATCTTGAAACCCTGGAGTCTATGCAGCTTCTACAGGAAGGCCTGGACAGTAAACTGAAGTACATTCCATTCAGCAACTAGCTCCAAGGAGCTACCTACTAGCATTCCTACAGCAGCCCTAAGAAGCGAGGGGCAGGAAGGACCAGCTGCTATCTATGGCAGGACACCACCCATCTCCACCACAGGCATGGATACCCAACGATTTATTTATTTTTTGGATACCCAACGATTTAAAGGCTAATGCCCTTCCCCACCTTTACTTGCTCTTTCCTCACTTTCAGAGCCAAACACATGGATAAGAACACCCAAGAGACAACTGCCCTATACATGAGAGTTGAGGAGATTTAGAAAGTCACCATGTGTGCTAAGGGGGAGACACAGGCTGAGAGAAGGGATGAGGTCTTCAGCTTATGCCTCAGTTTGATTATTGTCACAGATGTGCCTTGTAACAGCTAAAAAGAAAATCACCCATAACCCCAGCAGACCCGAGAAAAGATTCAAATGCTTAAATTTGAATAAAAAATGACAAGGCAGGGGACTGGAGAGATGGCTTAATAACCACTGAGTACTGGCTGCTCTTCCACATGGCAGCTCACAACTGTCTATGACTCCAGTTCCAGGGGATCTAACACCCTACTGTGGCTTTTGTGAGCCCTGTACCCATGTGGTACACAGACATTTTTGCAGGCAGAAATCCATACACATAAAAATGAAAAAAAAATATGCACACACATATTTTAAAAATCACAAGGCATAAGACAAACAGGAAAGTAAGTCCCTTCAGAGGAAGCTACAGCTTGAAGTGTAGCTCAGTGGTAGAGCACCTGCCTAGAAAGTGCAAGGCCTGAATCTCCAGCAATAAAATTAAACAAAAATAAAAACAAAAGAACAAAATAAGCAGAAAATATCTTTGCTTAAAGACAAGATGGTGGCATGGTACACAATGACTTTAAAACAACTGTTACAAAAAGTTTAAAGAGCTAAAGGAAAATATGGACAATGACATGAAAATGGTGAATATTAAATATTAAAAATTTTTAATTTTTAAAATTTAAATTTAAAATTAAATGGTGAATATTTTAAAAAGACCAAAAATGCAGAAATTATACATCCTCCCAATGATTATCACCACCTCTCACAGCAACCTTTCAATTCTCATCTTCTTTATCTTCCATGCTTTATCTCTCCAAAACCTCTGCAACAGTCCCTCCTGCATCCATGGAACTAACTGGAAGCCTACCTTGGCCAGCCAGTTTCAGGCCTTAGGAAAACAGGAATGAGTGACAGTCAACTGCCACACAGGGAGCTTGCAGTGCAGAGGGAGAGGCAGGTCTTAAATGAAAATGTGCTGGCCTGCAGTGACAGTACACGGACAGAACATGAAGGGTGGTGAGGGGATAGAGTATGGAGAATGTTACCAGGCACGGTGACACACACCCTTCATCCCGGCTCTTGAGAAGTAGAGGCAGGAGGCAAAGGCGTTCAAAGCCGGTCAGGCTACATGAGACTCTATCGTCAAACAAAACAAAACCACAAAACCACAAAACCACCAAAAAACAAAGTCTAGAAGGAGGGTTAGATTGGCTGAGTCTACTTATGAAGAAACTCATCCAACACAGGTGTGCAAGCCATGCAGCTCCATGACCATTTGAAGACGGGAAAGGAGAACCCCTGAGGTGGGGTGTGTTAGAACCCTGAAAATGACAAACAGGAGATGGAGGTGAACAGGAAGCTGGCGGCTACTGGGGAAGCATTAGGAGGTGTGGACTTGTTGAGGAGGTGTGTCACAGGCCAGCTGTGAGGCTGTAGAAGCCCCCCTCCACTCGCAGTGCTCTCTGCCTCCTGCTTGCTGTTTAAGAGGTGAGCTCTCAGCTGCTACTCCAATTGCCTGCCCCCTGCTACCTCCAGGCCACCATCATGGACTCTAGCCCTCTGAAACTGAAAGCCCACAATAAACTATTTCCTCTATAAGCTGCCTTGGTAGTTTCCACAGAATGACTGTATTTCTCCAAACAAGGGTTTCAGAGATAGACAACCATGGTCTCTAAGTCTGAAACTGTCACTTTAGACTAAAGGAGAAGGGCTTTCTTATTCAGGGTCTATCAGAACAGGGTACAGCCAGTCTTTCAGCTCTTCCCTAATCCTCACTGTCTGACCTGACCCAACTTCAGACGGTCCCCAGTGCCCCCACTCCAGGCTCCTAGCCCTCAAGCTCTCCTTCTGGGGGCAGGGGGCTGGGCCCAGCTCCAGGCTGCTCATGACTCCTCAGCCCTGTGCAAGACTCTCAGATCCTCAGATCGAACCCCCTGTTGGGCCTCAGCAGGATCTAGTTCTACTGCTGTCTCCTGGCCTTTTCTACTTTCTCCTGGGTCAACCCTGGCTCCCTTCTCCTGACCATCACTCAACACTTCCTAGACTAGACTCCATATGCTCAGGGAAGTCCTGGCTGCAGTGCTCCTGGCCTGAACTCTCACAGCACTTTGTGTCCTTGCTCCTGAGTCCTCACTAGACTTCCTGTGTCTAGTGTGACCGGCATTCCATGTCCTGTGTGTGCTTGTGTCTTCACTCTCATTGTCCCTACTGGATTGCACAAGAGCAGGACCAGGTCTCGTCCTGGCTGGTGCTGCCTTGCTTATATCCCGCTTATTTAGATAAAGGCATGGCCAGATGGTGGGGCCAAGCGGGGAGTCTTCATTCAACTCTCAGCTGCCAAAACATCCACCTCTTCCATTTCTCTCTCATCACTGATTCCTCTTCCTTATGTACAGTGCAATGGCCTTCTCTGCCCTCTGCAGTCAGCTCAAGGCTACAAAAACCACCTTCAAGTGTCTGTGTGGGGCTCTGACCTCTCATGTGGGTTCCAACCACATCTGTCTTACCTTACACAACTACCTGTGGGGGAACAACTATCCGAGTACTTCAACCGAACACCACACAGAACTCCTACACTCTCACCCCACAGACTGCGCCTCACTTCCATGACTCCTGAAGCAGGCTTCTCCACCAGGCCCTGCTGGACTCCTGAAGTGGCTCCAGGAGGCTTCCCACCTCTAGCTTGGCCTCACTTTGAATCTGTCCTTCCAATGCTTCCACAACAGCCAGTCTTACTGAACTGCAATCACACAAGGACTTCATGAACGTTAACAGTCTCTGTGGAAAACCAGACGTCAAGTCCCCTTTTACAGATGCATTCCAAAAGTAACTTCGGTTTCCAGTGACAGCGTGTCCTCATGTCTCCCTGCCTATACAGGTACTACTCATGCAAGCAATACATTGTCTTTAAAGTAAATGGTGCCACGTCTTCACAGAGCTCTGTAACCTTTTCACTCCTCAGCATGTCTTGGAGCTCTGTCCACATCAGTGTGTTCTTTCATCTTAAGTGGGGTAACGCAAGCCAGAGTGAGGACACATCCGGGCTTCTTGAGTTACATATTGATTCGGAGCATTCATTTCTGCACCAGACCTTGTTTTCCCCACTGAAATATCAGGCATCATAAACTCTCCTTAAACTTCTTAGATATTCCCATTATCCACAGGACAGTCCAAATCTCTTAAAATCGTACCAAAAAGCAGTGAGGCCTTCCAGCTCATTTCCTTTGTCTCCACTTCCTATACATACTCTGTGCACAGCCAGAAACAATTACTTCCAACATACCCTCAAATATACTGACTTCTGGGGCTGGAGAGATGGCTCAGAGGTTAAGAGCACTGACTGTTCTTCCAGAGGTCCTGAGTTCAATTCCCAGCACCCACATGGTGGCTCACAACCATCTGTAATGAGATCTGGTGCCCTCTTCTGGCCTTCAGGGATACATGCAGGCAGAATACTGTATACATAATAAATCAATCTTAAAAAAATATATATATATACTGATTTCTTGTACATAAAATGCAGCCTCCTTCAAAAGAATAAGAGACCTTGTGATACTCATTTGAAAAGTGACCAGGAGGGGAAGCTAGGACCTAGGAGCCTGGGATTTCCCTTTCCCATAAGTCCTTGAGGGTCGAGTACCTGTAGAAGTCTCCTGTTGAGAGAGAGGCCGATCTAAGGCTTTCTCTGAGGCCCTGCTGTATCGAGAGGGAACATCGTCCCTTGAATAAAATCAGGAAGATGCTTGGCAGGGCCAGTAATGGCCTGGGGCCAAGGCTTTGGGGGAGCTTTGGCTTCAGATCCTGAGTATGCCACTCTTGACCCCAAAGAGCTATCATTGTCAGTCCCAAGGTTGCTGTGGGCTCCATCTGTGACACCCTTAGGATATCCTGTGTCCCCGTGTGCAGCACTGCTTGAACAGCATCCTGCTGCCTCCGTCCCACTGTGTGAGAGCTCTCCACTGACTTTCCCATTCCCCGCCACAAATAGACTATAAGATGCTGCTGTACTTCTTAATAAACAGACACTCCTGACCCAGCGGTGTTCCTGGCTTCTTTATCTTCTCATCCTCGGCCCTCCCCTTAACAGCCCTGCCACTAAAGAACAACCTGCTGGTCTAGGGCAGTCTCCAGGCACTGAGGCTGCCTTCTATTCTTGTTTTGCAGAGATTCTTGGGTCTCTCAGGCCCACCCACTCACCAAGAGAGGAGCCGCCATGACCTTCTTTCTCTGCTTTCCAGGGTTCTTCTCCTTGCTGCAACACGGAGATCATCTTTGGTTTGGTAAAAGGAAATCCTGATCACAAACAAAGTGAACAATAAAAAGACTTAGTTTTGTTTTAACAGGAACAAGCATTGCATGTTTGTGTGAGAAGCTCAGAGGATGGCGCAGAACACTTCCACAGGGCACTTAAGCTGTTCCCTGTCATCTGATGGGATGTGTTAAGCAGAGGCCAAGGGGCTCATAGGACATGACTGGTAGAACCAATTGTACGTTATGGAAACACGATAAGCAGGCAGTTCTAGAAAAGGAACGTTGGGTGTACAGATGGAATAAAAACGTACAAGCAGGTATCTGTGAAAGATTTTTGGTTTTTCGAGACAGGGTTTCTCTGTGTAGCTTTGCGCCTTTCCTGGGACTCACTTGGTAGCCCAGGCTGGCCTCGAACTCACAGAGATCCGCCTGGCTCTGCCTCCCGAGTGCTGGGATTAAAGGCGTGCGCCACCACCGCCCGGCCCTGTGAAAGATTTTTTAAAGCAAGTAGCCTGTTTAAAGCAAGGAAACAGTATTTGATTCCTTTTCAAGGATAGAGTATACAGCATTTACCTGACTGCAAAAGAGAAGTGTGAGAGGCAAGAAATCGGTAGAGAGGAGGGATGAGGGAAGTCTTTGTTTACAGGCAACGCAGAATAAATATGTACGAGAATGCAGCTTCTGAAACACTGGAAGAATTTCTACTGTCAAACTACAGACAGTAGATGGGGGATGGTATGAGCATCAACCCTCTTTGGCCTCACCTAAACAGCTGCAAGTGGAAAACAGTTTCCGTATTTAGTATTTATAGAGCTCTGATTTGTACAGTCCTCCAGCAAAACCCAGTGAGGGTGTTTTAATGGCCGCAGCTTTCATTCAGGGAAGGAGGTGCTAAGGTCTCATTTCTGAATCTACGCCCACAGGGAACTCCCTTACCCAGTGAGGCCAGGTTGCTGTAGTTCTCCAGCATCACCTCACGGTACAGGCTTCTCTGAGAGGGATCCAGCTTCTTCCACTCATCCCGAGTAAAGAGCACAGCCACATCCTCAAATGTCACCGACACCTGTGAGGAAAAGCCACTCCATCTCATCCGGGACCAGCCTCATGTATCATGAGGGAGGTGACAGTGTGGAAAGTGGACAGGCCACCACGAAATGCTGCTGATGTCACTGAAGGTTCTAAAGGGGCCAGGTCATCCATTTAATGATCAATTCAACCAGTGACAAAAACACAGAGCAGCACTGAGTAGGAGCCCGGCTTTGTGTACAGGGAGTATAGCCATTAGTGCACATCATGGTAATTAGAAATCCTTCTGATAAAGATTCTTTTGAGGTTTTTTATTTTGTTTTTGAGATAGGGCCTATACAGCTCTGGCTGTCTCCTGGAACTTATTCTGTAGACCACGCTTGCCTCAAACTCGCAGATCTGCCTGCCTCTGCCTCCCTAGTACTGGGATTAAAGACATGGGCCACCATTCTCAGCAAGATTCTTTCCTCTTAATTTTCACATGTATGCAATGCCTATATAGGAAAAATAATTTATGTGGAGAGAATACAAAAGATGATCTTTTAAAGAATTTCTGATCTAATCAGCACACAGGAACATGCATAAAATAATTTCAACATTGCAAAGAAAGCTGCGTAGCTAGACCGGTAAGCCCGCACACCACCTACTTCAAGAGGCAAGAATGTGAAGCCAGAAGCTGCCAACACTTGTGGTCACGAGCTTTAGCACTCGTAGCAGCACCGCAACTCAAGATTTCCAGCGTGGACACAGAACCTACTCTGTTCTTTCCTTGGTCTTAAACTTCTGGACACTGAGGATTTTTGTTTTTTGTTTTTACTGTAGTATTGACACATGGAGAGAAGATAAGGGAGATGTAGGAGAGGATTGACACACACAGGGATGAAGGTTTAGGACATGAACAAAACTTGACTCTCCTGGATGGAATGTAAAGGCTGCCCAGATCCCAGCCCCTTACGGGTCCAATGATAACCTGCATCGTTAATATAGCGTTATCTGGTGCCACGGTAGCTAAGGCTGAGCCAACACCATGCCCCTGGCCTGACCTAAACACTTTCCACGAACTATACCATCCTCTGACCTATCCTAGAAGAGGGCAAGGGCTGTTATTTATTTATTTTATTGGTGAGGGAACTGAGGCACAGAGTTAGACTTACTTTCTCAAGGCCCACAAATGGTAACAGAGGGGCTGGGTTATAATTCAGCTGACTTGAGGATCCCATTTCCTGACCACTGTGCTCACTGATTTTCTGCCAAAGATCCCATGAACCCTCTTGGTGGCTTCTTGAGTTGTCTGCCTGCTTTCAGAGTCAGGCTCCTGAAGCTGTATCCCCTGCAGTATGGCTTTCCTTTGTCAGTGTGGTGTCTCATCTAGATGGGGGTCTCTCTAAATCCCTGCACCTTACAATGGCAGGTCAAGATTAGTTTTCACAAGAATGGTACAGTTGAAACTGAGGATCCAAAGAGTGAAGGGAAAAACCATGGGCTGGAGACAGCTGGGGGGGGGGGGATCATAAGCATTTTCAAGGGCAAAAGAAACAGATGAGCAATCTTGGTGAGGGCTGAGAGAAACATGCATGAAGGAAGGAGGCACACCAGAAAGGACTTGCCCCAGGTGTGTCCCTAGTGATAAGAGGGCCCCTGCATGTCACTGTCAATTTAGTAAGTACACAGCAGACTGGGATCAGCCAACAGTGAGGCTAGGTAACTGTGAGCATGGAGTGTGCCCCCTACAAACAACCCACGAGGAAGGACCAGCTCCTCCGTGGGCACCAAATCCTGGTGAAGGGTGTACTGGGTGCAGGACTTCAGTCAGGAAGGAAAAACAAAACCATACAAAACCTATCTTCTACTAAGAACTGAGATGGCAGTGCGCTCACCTGAGACCTCCCTTCCCTTTGCTCTGGAGCCATGTTCTCTTTCTGGGCTTTTCTCAAGGATGGGTACAGTCTCCAGAAAGTGATCTGAGGGAAGACAAAAGTAGGACTGCTTCACATCCCTCAGAAGCACCGTCTCCGAATGCGTCCCATCAGCATCAGTTGAGCCTGGCTCTCCTGCCTCCGGAGACAGAAGCAGGAGCTGGGAGTGGGCATCAGGGAAGACTCAGGCGACACTGGACTTCATCATAGAGGGGACTCACTGCGTCCCCACGTGCCATCACCCTACACTGTTCACCACAGCTCAGCAGGCACTGCCCGGACCCTTCGGATAAGGAAAGTGAGGCCAGAGTGTAGCCACAGCAGGGACGCACCCGTTTCCACCTGCTCAGATCTGACACGGGTCCAGGACGGTGTTCCTCCATTCCACGTGCTCCCCACCCAAATGCGCAGTTGCTGTCAAGGGGTCAATTTCCAGATCCCCAGAGAAAACTCCAGAAAGGGGACCAGTGGCTCAGGACGGCCCAGTCTGGGGCCGCCATAGGCCTCCACGTCCTCCAACCTGGCCAAGCCGCTCACCTCCCTCTGGCTCCCGCTACACCTCATGAAGGCTCCGAGCCACCACGCGTGGAGACTCAGCCCGGGGAGCTCGGCCCCGAGCTGCGAACAGAGCAACAGACGCCCTGCAGCCAGCTGAAGCTCACAGGGGAGGCGGGGCTGGCGGGAGTGGGGTGGGGGGCTCCGAGGATGGCGGACTCGCAGGCCTCTGGGAAATGTAGTCCACTCCGGGACCCAGGGATTCTGGGATTTGAAGTTGACTGGCTCGGCCGTTCTAGTGCGCAGCTGCAGTGGAGGCATCCCGCAAAGGGCCCTGGGTTCACAAGTTATATGAAGTCTTGGATGTGGAGAGCATTGTAATTGCATTTGTGTGAATAATGGTGAGGCCAGCCGACACTGTCCCGAAAAGACCCACTTCTCCCGCAGGTACTTGAAATCGTATTGCGTTTAACGCTTTTAAAATAAACCAGAGAACATCATTTGGTTTGCAGTGCTTTTTAGTGGGATAGAGAGTAGACACTGAGCTGTGAAAAGAATTATATATTGCTTTAGACTCCGAGGGTGTTACAGGATTAAAAACAAAAGAAGGGCGGGCTAGCTGAAACCTGGAGCTCTAGCATTTATAATAAATAAATAATAAAAATAATAAATAATAAAAATAATAAATAATGGATAGAAGAAGATGCCTGAATTTGACCTCTGGTCTGAACACAATGTAACACACACAACACCACACCACACCACCACCACCACCACACACACACACACACACACACACACACACACACACACACACACTCACACAGAGATTGATATAAAAGGGCTTGTGTCAGCCTCACCTGGCTACCAAGGAAACTGGGACTTCTTGGCAAATCAGTGCCAATAAAACTGTTATATGTTGCAAGTTCATTGTTACTTAGTAAATTCTGACACAAATGTATTCATCTCTTTTTCTAATATAGTACGATCAGGACAAAGATAAGGACCAAATACAGTCATGCTTTGCTTAATGACAGGCATGCATTTCTGAGAAATGTGTTATTCCTTTATCTAAACAGTAGAACACACTGTGCTTGTACATGCTATACTTTTGTATGAGTAGAAACACAAAGATGTCCCTACCACAAAAATATGAATAATGTGCTACAGTTTTATAAAAACTCCATAACTGGCCGGGTGGTGGTGGCGCACGCCTTTAATCCCAGCACTTGGGAGGCAGAGCCAGGTGGATCTCTGTGAGTTCGAGGCCAGCCTGGGCTACAGAGTGAGTTCCAGGACAGGCACCAAAACTCAACAGAGAAACCCTGTCTCAAAACAAAAAACAAAACAAAACAAAAAGCTCCATAACTAAGGGGTAGAAAATATTCAGGTCCATTGTAATCTCATAAGACCACCATCACATATAGCAACAGAAAACAGGCTGGTACAATGTATAACTTCATATGCATGTATATCTTCATATGCAATCACACACACACACACACACACACACACACACACACACACACACACACTCGTGTGAGTGAATATTCTTGGCCCCTACTCTGCATCCCTACTGCTAATGTGCTATTGTAAGCATTAACTGCACAGACAGGCATTTCCTAATTCTCCTGCAGCTGAACTGTCTTCCTGATGGGTCCCTTTCCCTGCTCAGGAAATGCTACAGTTGCTCAAGACTAAATCTTAGGATCTTTCTTCTCATTACTGACTCTTGAGTTTTCTCTACCTCAACTATTATTTTAATTGCCTTCAATTCTCCAGTGACCCCCAAATTTTCTTCTGAGTTCTTATAATCCTCTGAACTCATGCCATCATCCAGTTTTAATAAGGGTTGAGAGAGGATCTCAAGTAGCTAGCCTCAGATTTGTTATACAGACAAGATTGGCCTTGAACTCATAGTGTTTCTGCCTCTACCTCCCAATTTTTAGAGTTGTGAGTTGTAGCTAGAGTTTTCCTGCCTGGCCTACAGTCAGGACAAATCTCTCTCACCCACCAGTCCCCACAGCCGCTCAGACCCGACCAAGTAAACACAGAGACTTATATTGGTTACAAACTGTATGGCCGTGGCAGGCTTCTTGCTAACTGTTCTTACAGCTTAAATTAATCCATTTCCATTAATCTATACCTTGCCACATGGCTCATGGCTTACCGGCATCTTCACATGCTGTTTGTCATCGTGGAGGCTGGCAGTGTCTCTCTCACCCAACTTCCTGTTCTCTCAATTCTCCTCTCTGTTAGTCCCGCCTATACTTCCTGCCTGGCCACTGGCCAATCAGTGATTTATTTATTGACCAATCAGCAACACATTTGACATGCAGAACATCCCACAGCAGTGAGTGGCTTGCACAGAGGCATTCTAAAGGTGGTTGTTTTCATAGGGTGTTCTACATAGGCAATCAAGAAGTGTCTCAGGGTCTCAGTGCCCTGAAGCATGTACATTTGGGATTTATTGTGGTTAACTATGACCTTGAGGCAATGATGGTCTTGCCCTGAGTCAGAAACAGCTCATCACACCCACTCATCTTAAATTGGCATCTGTAATTCCTTACTAACAGATTAACAATGGCAAATCTTGGACATGGAATGTATGCCATTCCTTCTGTAGCAACTTAAGGCTGGGTGGGGACAATGGACAGGACATCCTTATTATTCTTGATCTGACAGAGGGACTAAGGTAGAGGCCCATGGGGCATGGGAGTGGGATCCCCTGTCAGTGCATTTCTGTAAGTAGGGCTGTTGGATTTTGGTCCAATATCCTTATCTATGTTGGTAGGGTGACTGAAGCTGGTAAAGTTGAGGACAGGAGACTTCTGCTAAAAGAAACAACTGATTTTTTTTTTTTTTGTGAAGGAAAGGTCCCACTGAAACTTTATTCCACGTGATCACATGTAGAGCATTAGATGATATCTTGGAATTTAATCCAGGAGGCATGGGCCAATTTCTTTGTTACATAATTTTTGTATTTAAAATGGCGGGCAGAGGCCTTGACAGAAGGGAGCCAAGGGGCACAGTGGAAAGTCATGCATACAATGCACACAGCGATCATGTAAAAGATTTTATTAAGGGAAGGGGAGAAGGGATGCAGAGTGTGCCTCTGGAGATAAAGGCTGAGGAGAGAGGAGGAATGAGAGAGGAAGAGAAGAGATAGAAAGGGGAAGGGAAGAGAGAGAGAGAGAGAGAGAGAGAGAGAGAGAGAGAGAGAGAGAGAGAGAGAGAGAGAGAGAGGACCCTGAGCAGGCCAAGGTACTGCCTGCTTACTGGCTAGGCCCCCAAGGGCCAGGTAATGTTTAAATGCTAACAATAACCATTTGAAGTTGAATCTGTTGAATTTTGAAATAAACAAACCTGGTTACACATTAGAAGAGGTAGAAACCCAAATTGCAAAGCAAAATAAAACACCGTGACCAAAGCAACTTACTAGAAGAAAGGGTTTATTTTGAGCTTACAGTTCCAGAGGGATAAAAGCTCATCACCGTTCTGGCAGGAAAGCGTGGCAACCAGCCGGCCTGGTAGCTGCAGCAGAAGCCTAGGTATTAATGTTCTGATCTGCCCCTTGAAATCCCACCCCTTGGCGCCACCCTGAGTCCTGACATGAAAGCCTCATTTTAAGGAAAAACTCCGCTCCTTTCTCTCTTTTCTGCTTTTCCTCCCATGAGGTGCGCATCCCTCAACCCCCTCCTCTCTCTCCTTTCTGTCTATCTTTCTCGCTATCTAATAAACTCTTTCCCTGCGGATGCAGCATCTGGGTTGTGAATCTGCCTAGCCCACCACTGCACCTGCCTGGGATGCCAGCAAGTTTTCCCCCACACCTGGGCCCTGGCCAGGCTAGTCTTAGGTCCCCTGCATTCAAATTCATAACACTAGGGCTACATCTTAAATCACAAATAGGAAGTGTGGACGGAGGCTTTTCTCTGCCCTACCCCCATCCCAAATAATCACTCAGAGGCTTAATATTACTTATAAATGTTTGGCTGATGGCTCAGGCTTACTACTAGCTAGCTCCTACATTTAACTTAACCCATATTTCTTATGTATGCTTTGCCATGTGATTTGTGGCTTGTTACCTTATCTTTACATGTCTTGCTCCCTAGGTGGCTGGCTGGCGGGTCCCAGACTCTGCCATTTTTCTCCCTGTCTCTTTGCTTGGATTTTCCCAACTGGCTTTATCCTGCTTTGCCATAGGCCAAATCGGCTTTATTTATCAATCAATGAGAGCAACACATATTCACAGTGCCCAGAAGGACACCCCACATCAAGGAAGCAGAGGGAGCAAACACAAAATGGCACTTGTCTTTTGAGACCTCAGCACCACTCTCAGTGACACACTTCCTCCAGCAAAGCCACACTTCCTAAGCCTCAACAAACAGCCATCAACTGGGGACTAAGTGTTCCAATTCTACCACATTCTATGCCCCCCCAGCCCCATCATCTTGTGGCCATATCATAATGCAAAATGCATTTAGTCCAACTTCAGAAGTCCCTATAATCTTTCTAATCTCAATATTATTTTAAAGTCCAAAGTCTTTTTTGAGACTCAAGACAGCCTCTTAACTGTAGCCCCCTGAAAAATCAAAAAGCAAATTATGTACTTCCAACATACAATGGCACAGAATATACATTTTTATACAACAAGGGAGGAATGAGAGCTTAGTAAGGAAACACTGGACCAAAGCAAGCCCCAAACCCAGGAGGGCAAACTCCAAATCCTGTATCTCCATTGCCCCGGCCAGTGGGGTGTCAATGGGGGCGACCCACCTGCGGGAGAGAATGAAAGGGATGGGGAGACACGAGAGAAGACAGCAAGACAGTGTTCTGATCAAGCTGCAAATTTTATTCTCCTCAGCAGGGCTTCTATAGCATGGGAGGGGGAGGGGGCAGGAAGGAGGGAAGGGGTGCACGATGTGCCATATGTGCCCATATGTGCAGGTGAAGGGAGACGTGCAAGTCGTGAGGGTGTTGTGCTAGGTGGTAGGTCAGGGCCCATTGTTCTGTTGCTATGCTACCTGACCTACCTGACCTGTTCTTTATCTTTGGGGGCATCTGGTTTAGGGCAGGGGCTTGTTCTCTGGCCTTGCTAGTACTTTTCCATGGTCCATGTTTGGTCCCTGACACTCCATGTCTGATATCAAAGGGCTCAGATGGCTTCACCCCTCCAACTTTGCTGCCTGCCTCTCTCTTGGGCTGGTTCCACTCCTGATGTGCAGTTCTCTTTGGTTCTAGCCAAATATCCCATGGCTCTAGCATCTTCCACACCTTGGGAGTCTCTCACGGAATACAGGCTTCATTTCCACAGCTTCATACAATGGCCTCTTAGGGACTTCCTGCCACACACATGGCCTCAGCAGCTCTGTGAAACTACAGATTTGTAAGATTCCACAACCCCATC